CTTTGGAGGCCTATGTCTTATAAACATTTCTGGCGTTTGTGTTATCACAACCCATGTAAATACAGAGACAGTCTAGAACCTCCCTGAAGAATGTGTACACATTTTGACAGTTCCTGGTCTTCCCAGTCTGAATCTCAGCTGAAGCTGAAAAAGTAAAATTTAGCTGGGCGTCAGTGGCTCACGCCTGTAATCCTAACTACTCAGGAAGCTAAGATCTGAGGATCACAGTTCAAAGCCAGCCTGAGCAGGAAAGTCCATGAGACTCTTATCTTCAATAAACCACCAGAAAACCAGAAGTGGTGCTGTGGCTCAAGTGGTAGAGCCCTAGCCTTGAACTGAAGAGCTGAGGCCCAGGCCCAGACTTCAAGCCCCACCACTGACAACAACAACAACAACAAAAAGACTAACATCGGTGAATAGGAAACCTCCTTTAATTCATTGCCCCAAAGTTGTTGAGAATGAGAGATTTTTCTATACTCCTTTTTCTGCTTTTTTTAAAATGAGTTCCAGCCTTCCTTTAGTGAGCCTAGACTGGCTCATAACATTTATTTGCAAGTCTAAAATCCAAACATCTATGAGGAAAATAAACAAAGTTCTGAAAACTAAAGATTTCCTTTTCATAATGAGCTCTACCTAATTAAGTTAAGATGTTCTCAAGCAGAAAAAATATTTTCTTACATGTTGCCTCTTCTCCTCCCTTTCTGGGGTGTGTTTTAATATACAGTATACACCCCAAACCACTTTACAAAATCCAAACATTTTTCTTATTTTAATAACATGTCTGGCCCTAAAAGTGTTATGTAAGTACTTACAAAGGGGAGTATATGATGGGTTTTGCTATAACTTTTCTTCCTCCAAAATAATAAAAATAAAGTTAAAATAAAAAAGAATCATGGTCTCTGTAGATTGAAAACCACCTAGTACTTGAAAGTGTGAACCACTAAAGTCAAAGTTGATTTCTGGTTTTCTCACTGATTAATCTGGCAATTCTGAGCAATTATTTAAATCTGGATCCTTAAAGTGACACATAAATAATTATTTAGCTAAATAATAATGACAACAATAATAATAATAACAGCGCCAACTTCTGTGCTAAAATTTGCCTCTTATTCCTGCTTATTTTTTGGAGGTTGCTTTTCTGTGCCTGGAAATGGACACCTCAGCCCCAACCTTATACGATGTTTGATTCAAAATCCAATGGTAGGGCTGGGAATGTGGCTTAGTAGTAGAGTGCTTGCCTACCATGCATGAAGCTCTGGGTTCAATTCCTCAGTACCACATAAACAGAAAAAGCCAGAACTGGTGCTGTGGCTCAAGTGGTAGAGTGCTAGCCTTGAGCAAAAGAAGCTCACTCAGAGATAGTGCCCAGGCCCTAAATTCAAGCTCCAGGACTGGCAAAAAGAAAAATCCAATGGTAACAATTAGAATCCTTGTGTTATTCACTTCATAGTACATGTTCAAGCCAGTGTGCACACTACCTGTCATGGAACCAACCTTCTAAGGCAAGAAAAATATTCTCTTCCAATGTGTGAAATACAATGCTAAGCATTTCTAAGATATTGCAGGGTTTTATGGTTTTTGTTTGTTTGGGGTTGGGTTTGTTTTAGGTTTTGTTTTGTTTGATTTGGGGCAGTACTAAGGATTGAACTCAGGGCCTGGCAGTTGCTCTACTATTTAAGCCACATATCCAATTTTGTTTTGGGTCTCACTGCATAGCTGACATTGGCTTTGGTCTTTTGATTCTCCTTGCCTTAGTCTGCCAAATGCTGGGATAATAGGCATGGGATACCATATACAAATCAGTGTTTTAAACTATATATATATACATATATATACATGTATATATATACATGTATATATATGTATATATACATATATATATGTATATATAATTTAAAAACTATTTTAAATATATTAAGTAATATATTATATATAATATATCATCTACTATATATTATCTATTCATATGTAACACATTATATATTGTATCGCTATGTATATGTATTTAAAAAATATAATAAGTATATTCAACCTGCTTTTATCTTCTTCACAGTGAATGCCTTTGATTTCATGCTTTAAAAGTACCACCTATATCTTATTTTATTATTCCACATGCACTCTCTAATGCAATTTAAATTCATTTATTAGAATGGCATCCTTCTCTTCTCCAAGCAATTAGCTATTTGTCCCAGCATGACTTTTTGAATAGCTCATATTTTTCTTGCCAATTTGAATATTAATTCTCTTAACAATATGAGCATTCTCTGAATGCTTCCTATGTGCCAGAGGTTGTGCTAGTGCATGCCTGGGTTATTTCAGCCTGGTAATACTATTATCCACAAATTATAGCTGAGAAATGGCATCCTCGGGTTTCATAGACAGGTCATCCTAGTATAAATACTTTAAATAACCATGTTATTGCTATAAATAATTTAGATCTAATTTTGGTGTAAACAATAAGGACAATTATTGACAAAACTGGATGTAGCAGATGTAGCACAGGCTTCACAGCTGATCTGGCTCATGCTCAATGTCCCCATCATTCTCTTGGCTCTGCTCTTCTCTACGTGTGGCTTTATACTCAGGCTAACAGAGAGCTAGCTGCAGTGATTCCAGCCCACATCCATGTACAAAATTTCTACCAAAAGAAAAAGAACCTGGTCATCAGAAATGGCTCAAGTTCCAGAGTGTCAACCTGGAACAAATAAGTTAGGGGACAGCACCCAAGCCCCGAGTTCAGTTTAAGCCCCAGTACATACTCTCTCTCTCTCTCTCTTTCACACACACACACACACACACACACACACAAATTACTACTCTCAGAAACACTCTCAGAAAAAAAATATATAAAAGCAAAACCATTTTGAGTCAATCCAACAAGATTCACCTCAAGTCTTATTGGTCCAAAATGAGTTACATGTCCATTCCTATATCAGTAATGAATAAAAAGCATGAGATTAAATAAAAATATAATACAATCTATACCTAGGGTTAGAGATGGTGTCATATTTCAGACTGGGGTGCATAGAAGTAAGGAGAGCTATTGATATAGTTTAAATTCAGCTCTCAGATGCAAAAGATCAAAATAACCAAGTAACAGTGGGTTATACAAGTTATAGGGTAAACCAAGGCTTCTACCTAATGTCCACGATTGCTTGGAGCCATGGTCACTATACCTACCTTCCCAGAGAAAAAGGAGGGAAACTGAGGAGTCTGGCTTGTCGCTTAAGGACATGTCCCATACATTACATGATACATTTCTACTCCCTGTCATTGGACAGAATGAAGGCACATTGCAATATCTGGCTGAGGGAAGCTGTAAGATGTGACCTTTATTCCAGAGAACCATGAGTACAGAAACAAATCAAAGGTTTTACTGTCGTAAAAGAGGAAAAGATATGTTGAGAGAATGCTAAAAGTATCTGCAACAGGTAGCAGCATGAGTTCAACTATCGGCTAGAGAGTAAGACAAGAAAACTAAGTACTGATTGGATGACCACCAATGTGTGCTACAGCTGTGCTTGGGCCATTGGCCATCTCTGGACAAGCCAGTAGTCTGATGGTAGATGGTGCTCAGATTGGACACCCTGTGTCAGTAACACACCCATTCCTGAAACATGGTTATGAGCTATCCCAACCCACATCTCATCATCTAGGAGGAAGTTGGAATAGTTACCTAAAATTATGGATTTGTATTTTTTACTTATAAAAGGTTTTGTTAAAATAAAGGATTCAGAATAGCAAGCTTTTGTCTGTCTAATAAACTGGTCAGTCTGGCTTATTATTTGTCCTTTGCCTTTATAGTGGTGTTATTACAGTAATTGTTTGACATATAGAAATTTTACATTTTATAAAGCATTCTGTGCCTGCATATCTTTTTACTATTCTGTTCGAATAATCATACATTAAGAAGGGTGTAATAAATGTGTTTATATATTGTCTTCTTGCTCTAGCTCAATTATTTTTCTGTCAGTAGAAAGTTGCATTCTGTCATATTTAAACCCCACATATAGTAGATAAAACCAGGGCTGATTTGGTGGTCTTGGGATTTATTTCATTCCACGTTTTGTTTCATTAACCTCAATATTAAGCTTTTGCTCCAGCTCTTCTATGATTCTAAGCATTGCATGTAAGTTCATTTAGGAAAAAGGGGGAGAAAGGATATAATATAAAAGCTGCATGACACTCAGATCCATCTCTTTTTTTTTTCAATCAGGAAATCATTGTCTTTCCTGTTAGATTTGCTCACTGGCCAGAACTATAACACATGACCAACTAAAGCAAGAAAATCTTGGAGAGATGAGCATTTTCTTTCTTTCTTTGAAAAAGGGTCTCACTGTATAACCCAAGTTGCAGGTAGGCAGGGCTAACCTCCAACTCCTGATCCCCTGCCTCTGCCTCCCAAGTATTGGGGGCACAGGTGTGTGATTTTCATGAGAAAATTGCCTCCTGAAAAACTGAACTGGTCCCGGGCAGTGCCAATACCAGTTCTGATAACTGAATAGATACTTATTGATAGGTACCAGCAGTACCTGTGTCAAGGGACAGTTACACTTAAGTTAACTGCTCATTTAAAAAAAAAAATCACAACTCAAGGGAACAAGCGGTATTTTTTTTCTCTTTGTCTTGTTCGTTCATTCATCTGTCTTTGAGGGGAGGGGGATAAAGGGACAAAGAAATGGAGGGACAAAGGGTGAGCAAAAGAAGCAGTGGTACTCAGTAGATACTATGTTGAAAATGAATTATATACCTTGTAGGTGGGGAAGGGAGGGAGAAACAGAGAAAGAAGGGAGAGGTGACACAGTCCAAAAAGAAATGTATTCTTTACTCGACTTATGAAACAGTAACCCCTCTGTACCATGATGACTGACCCGTTCTTTCTTTGTTTTGCTGTGCTGAGGTTCAAATGCAGGATCTCGTGAACATGCTAGGCAAGTGTTGTACTCTGTCACTGAGCTACGTCCTCAGCCTTAACCAATCTCTATAATCTCTCATTTTAGGGAAAATCTCTCAACCTCTGATTGCTGCCTACTCTGCAAGCAAGTTTGCTCTGGATGGATTCTTCTCTTCTATTAGGAAAGAACACTCACTTCTGAAGGTCAATGTGTCAATCACTCTCTGTATCCTTGGCCTCATAGACACAGGTAAGGTTAAAATACTAGAATAAATGGCTGGAAATCAGACTGTGTGTCTTACTTAGCATTGTACGTAAAATGGGATACTGTACTCCTTGACTCACAAGTACTAAGAAGCAGTGGGAGAATACACTAGCACTCTCATTTAATAAAGCACTTGTCATTGGTGAAGGCTATAAATACCACAACAGATACTATCAGATGAACGTCTTATGTTCTTGTGGACTCTCAATGGCCACTGCTTTTCTATATCAATAGGAGTAAGGCACTGATCCATTCACCCTCTGATATGATGCACAAAGAAAAACACAACTTGCTAAAACAAAAATAAATAAACTGGTCTCATATAAAATGAACACCCTGAGCATGGTGGATCACACCTTCAAACTCAGCTACTCTGGAGTCAAAGCTTAGGAAGACTGTGTTTTGAGACTACCCTGGGCAAGATCTCTTCATCCTAATCAATATCCGGGCAGGGTGCCACACAACTGTCATACTAGGTATATGAGAAATATAAACCGGAAGATGATAGTCCAGAGAAAACCAAGCATAAGTGCCAACCCCTATCTCAAAAATAACTAAAACAGCTAGGCACCAGTGGCTCATGCTCATAATCCTAGCTACTCAGGAGGATGAGATCTGAGGATCACCATTTGAAGCCAGCCCAGGTAGAAAAGTCCATGAGACTCTTCTTTCCAATAAACTACCTAGAGAAAGCCAGAAGTGGTGCTGTGGTTCAAATAGTAAAAAAAGGCTTGGGGACAGCACCCAGATCCTGAGTTCAGGATTGAGCCACAATCCTCAGATCTCAGGATCCTGAGTAGCTAGGATTACAGGCGTGAGCCACCAGCACCCAGTTCAAAATGACTGATTCTTGATCTCTACTCTTCAAAAGTGTCAAGGCCGTAAGTGAGAAAAGAAAAAAAGAGAGTGAAGAACTCTCATACCTTGAAGAAAAACAATACATGAGGAATTAGTACTAAGTACAATCCCAAATACTATCCAAGGACATTAATGAGATATGAGTCACGTATGATTTAATGATATGGAACTGTACCAGATTGTGTTGTTGATCAGTGCACCATGCTTATGCATGACATGGCAGCAGGGGAGAAAAGTTAGGCCATGCAAGGACACACTTTGTTCAATTTTTATAAATCCTCTCTTAAGTCCAAATTCAAGTCTTCCCCAAACATACAGCAAGTGCTGTAAGACATTTTCTTTAAGGAATAATGAGTATTAGTTACAGAATGAGATGGACTGTGGCTCAGTGAAACAGCAGAGAGGAAAAGGAAAGGATTCTGTGCAAGAAGGACATGAAAACCTGGAAGGTGAGTAAAGGAGATGGTAGAGCTGCCTTCTTAGTCGAAGTGGTGACGGTTGGGAAGGAAGCAAAAGGCTGAGTTCTGCCTGTGTTTTAACAGTAAGTCATTATCATATATACTGGTTGTTTGCCCATGGACAGTTCCCATTAGCTGATGAGTCATCACGTGATTCTATCCTTTTTCTTCATTCCCCTCATATTCATCTCCCATCTCAACTAAAACACTCAAGAGGGCTGGGAAGGTGGCTCAGTGGTAGAGCGCTTGCCTTGCATGCCTGAGGCCCTGGGTTCGATTCCTCAGCACCACATAAGCAAAAAGAAAAAAAGCCGGAAGTGGTGCTGTGGCTCAAGTGGTAGAATGCTAGCCTTGAGCTGAAGAGCTAAGGGATAGCACCCAGGCCCAGAGTTCAGGCCCCACGACTGGACCCAAAAATAAAAAAAAATAAAAATAAAACATTCAAGAGAAAATCATGATTCAGAACTCCCAGTTAGAAACCTCTAACTCTTCCCCAAAATCTCCATCCAGGAAGGCATGCTTTTGTTAGTACCAACCTTCTCTTTGGTCCAGTTTCCTATGTATTACCTACACAGCTTATGAGGGTCAAGCATTAACAAGTAGTCCCTAACTACCAACCTGTGAGTAGATCTGTAGGTCTTCCATCATATAGTCTTAGATATCCACTGGTCTTAGATAATAGCACTCTTTCTTTGTCATCTACAGACACAGCTATGGAAGCAATCGCTGGGGTAATGAATTTAAGCCCAGCTCCAAAGGAAGAGTGTGCACTGGAGATCATCAAAGGGGCAGCTCTACGTCAAGATGAACTATACTATGACAAGTCACGCTGGACCATATTCCTTCTTGGCAATCCAGGGAGGAAAATCTTGGAGTTTTTCTCACTGAAGAACTATAATATGGAAAAGTTTATAAAAACCTAAGAACCCCCTTTAGGCTCAGCAAGGTAAGGGACTTGGTAGCTGTTCTACCCCATATTTCTCTGAATTCTCTCCATGAAAAGCATCCTTCAGGGGGATAGCTAGGATATCCCTGGAGACACACATCACAATTAGAAGGCGTTCCTCTAACAATCTGCACAGTGGAAATGTAATTATAATAAACCTATGCACCACTCTGCAACCTGAAACTGCGAAATTATGAATGACCATAGATATAATGACAAAGTAGTTATATCAGATTTACTCCTTGTATGTCATATGATGATGCTTAAGACAATATTAGTTGTAATAAAGATCAACTTTATAAATTCAAAACTGATAGGTATCATTTGAGTTCATTTGCTATTGATCATGTAAAAATCATAAGCTATACAAATAAAGTTTTTCAATGGTCATTTCACAATTTGTGGTCTGGACTTTTCATTTCCAAGTTGAAGAAATCACCTCAATCTTCATTTGATGGGCATTCTATCCTCACCATTGCTCTGTATGTTACTCCTTGGGAAATGGGAATATCTGAACATCAGTCATTATGGCAACTCAGGGAAGTGGCAGTCCATAGAAATCTGAGTCTATCCAACACTTAATTTTATGTAGGAATGCTCAACTCTTCATTCAAAGTTTGGAGCAAACAGATTGGAGTTCAAATCCCACTACTAATTTAGTCTCCAATCAACAAATACATATACAACACTTGCTAGTCATCACATGACTACAGTCAACTGAGAAGCAAAACACCTGTTATTACTAACAATCTAGCAGAGCCCTCTATTGGTCAGGACCCAACAGGAAAGAGATGTTGGATCTCTCACATTGGATCATTTTTATAGAGTTTAATTTAAAACAAAAAAAAAAGGAAACTACTTACAAAAGTGTGAGCAAAGCTTGTAGAAATCACCAATAGTAGTGCAGCATCTCAAGACTAGTCGCAGCTCCTTCTACCCAGAGACCTGTAGACACAAGAAGATAGAACTGTAAGGAGAACTCAGAGCAGAGGAGCCTATTTGCAGAGTGCCATGTGGCAGGAGCAAACTTGGTTAAGAGCTATAGTCAGCCCACCAAGGAACATGAAGGAGGGAACTGGAAACAGAAATACCCCAGCCTGAATCCTTTCTCTCCCTCTGATATTGGCCAGTGTTTCCCATTCTCTTAGGAGGAAGATGGCAAAAGAGCAGACCATATAAGTCAGCTTCTCCCAGTACCAAGCATGACAGCAAAGGGTGGAAAGTATACTGGAAGAAGCCATGGAGTGTGTGTTTATTTACAGGTCCAGCATGAACTCAACACTCCCAAGCATAGGTGAGTGATGCTGGAATGTGGAAGCCTGGGGAAATCTCCTTTTACCACCTCAAATTCCTGGGCAGCAGATTACATCAGAGCTGGTTAAACCGCTGGCCACATGTACAAGGAACTAGATCTAAGAACGTTAATATGGATGGAATTTTCTTAGAAAGAAGTTCTTCAGCCAAGTATGGTGGTACACAGATATAATAATCCCAGCACTTAGAAGACTGAGGTTTGATGCTAGCTTTGGCTGCATATCCAGACACAGTCTTGAAGCTAACAAACAAAAAAGAAAAGAAAGAAAAAAAGAAAGAGGGAAGGAGAGAGGCAAAAGGTTCTTTAAGAAGCAACTAGCTCACAGTACACAGGTATGCACACAAGTTAAATGTGGTCTTATAGGTGCCTTCGTTTCTAACCAATCAGATTAGCATTTGCAATCTTTAGAAGAAATGAAGTTCCCCCTTCACTTTGGGAGACAGAGCACAGAGACTGATTTTCTAAAGGGAGGAGAAAATATTAAAATGAACTTAAAATTTGTTTGGAAACAGGTGAAAACTTCTTTCTAACTGAACATTTTCCCCAGAATCTGAAGAGGAGATCTCCAAAAGTAGGTCTGAGAACTGAAACCATCTACACCCACAGATTTCATTATCTTCATTAACATGACATTAAAATTCCATTGCCTTTATCAGTCTAGCTTTACTATTCCGAGAAAGTCTGGTCCAGGAAGATAAATGTTGCAGGTCTGGTTTAAAATGCTCAAGTTTTCAAAAGATAGCATCAAATGATTACTACTTTGAAGGCTCTTTGGCACTGTCCTCACCAATCCCAACCTGCTGTATCACAAACCTTTACCTGTCCTCTTGGAGCACCTCACTGGAGCCCGCCTTAGTCTAGACACCCCACTCTGAGAAGCTAAGGGACTCTATCAGGGTGGTATCCCCTCATTTGGGTAAGTGACACCCTTGGTTTGATCTTACGGACAAGTTATTGGAATACTCACTGTATGTAAAACTGATTTGTTGAACTGGTGGACACTGGTGGCTTATACTTGTAATCCTAGCTACTCAGGAGGCTGAGATTTGAGTTCAAAAACAGCCAGGGCAGGAAAGTCCCTGTGAAACTCTTATCTCTAATAAACTACTCAGGACAAGCCAGAAGTGGCTCTGTGGCTCAAGTGGTAGAGCACTAGCTGAAAGTACAAAGGGGCTTAGGGACAGTGCCTAGGCCCTGAGTTCAAGCTCTAGGATCAGAAAAATAAATAAATAAATGATTTATTGAATGGTAACCCCTTTGTGCAACTATTTAAAGATCATAAATATATAATTTTTCAAGTTATTTGACAGTCTTCTTAGGGAAGTCCTCTTCAGGGCCCTCGCTCAGTTCCTAATCTTCTCCCCCAACTCTCAGGGGTTACAACAGCTGGAGCCAACCTCCGAGTTCATCAGTCTTGCCCTTGGACAAGAACCACTTACATGCAACTATCTTTCCTACCTCACTTTATCAAGAGCTCAAAGAAATGTATCCAGGATGTCTCTTCACACCACATGTGGACTCGAGAGAGTAAATTAGTTAGGACCCAGGATTCCTGGACAGCATCTTGGCCTACAAGCCAAAAACAGATGCAAAAATTAAAGAAGACAATTGTTTCAGAACATCTTGTTTCACTCCCTCCCCAGCCTCAACTAGTTTCCATAACCTTCCCATGACCTTGGGGAGAAGATATGCAAAAGGAATCTGATTAGGAATGAACAACCAATCCGAATGATGTGGGGGCCAATCAATAAAGTATACTTTTCAAAATATATAATTATTATAGGGACCACCAGCCAGTGTATATAAAAACTCCTAGACTCCACCACTGGAACACACACACACACACACACACACACACACACACACACACACACACACACACACAGAGCCACCTGGGATAAGAGGGACAGAGAAAATAGCAAAAGAGGATACATGAGGAAGGAGGCAACAGCCCGATACTTCATCGAATCCCTGAGACGAGAACCTAAGAAGGCTGCAGTGTCCAACAGTGGAGCTACAGCACTGGCAGGCACTGTCTGTCACTGAGTTACAACCAATAAACAGGTGTTTCCTGCTATGGGGCTGTAACCTTAATGGTCTCTGCTGGCCACTGAGCCAGGAGGTGTGTGGGAAATAGCTTTAGTTTTAAATAGACAAAATGATCAGTCACAAGTCACCGTATGGCTGGGCTGAGCATCGTCTCAGTCCTGCTTCTAGCAAGGGTTCTGGAGAAGTTATCACTGTTCTCACCTGAGGGGAGCACTCTGGTCAAGATTAACCAGTCTTTGTTGCCCCCACAGGTAGAGTATGCAGAGGAGGTCCTACCATTCCTTTCTCCATCCTTCCTGGTAAAGATGTTGTCAGTTCCATCCTCCTTGATTCCAAAGTGGCTTAGAACAAATAACACAGACATGAAAATGGAGGCAGGCTTCTAGGTGTTTCTCCTGCTTTTAGTTATTTCATGGGCCCAAGTAAGCAGTATACTTTTCAACAAAAGCAGTTTTAGTACCTGATACATTTTTGCATAGAACAAGAGCCTTCAAGAAAATAATAACTTGAAAAGGCAGCTAGAGTTAAGTTACATAAATATTGAATTAAGACGAAGAATAGTAAGAAGCGATGAAAGAAGGGTTTGGGCCTAGGTATTTAATTGATCAGAGAAGTGACTAGAAGGAGAAGGGTTATTTAACAAGGTTGTTTTGTACAGCCTCAATTTTCTGTCCCTGAAGGGAAGAATGTTGGTTTATATGTTAGTACAGGGAGGATGGCTTTCACTTAGGAAGTGAAGCTTTTGCTTTTAAGAAAAAGCTCGGGGAGCTGGGAAGGTGGCTCAGTGGTAGAGTGCTTGCCTTGCATGCATGAGGCCCTGGGTTCGATTCCTCAGCACCACATAAGCAAAAAGAAAAAAGCCAGAAGTGGTGCTGTGGCTCAAGTGGAAGAGTGCTAGCCTTGAGCTGAAGAGCTAAGGGACAGCACCCAGGCCCAGAGTTCAGGCCCCACGACCAGACCCAAAAAAGAAAAAAAGAAGAAGAAAAAGCTCTGGGATGTGATGTCTCTGCTGTTTTTGTAGTGCCTTGAACTTAAATAGTCATTATGCCAAAATAACGTCACTTTAATACCTTTAACAACAGGAAGACATTAGTTAATTGTTGTATACTAGAAGTTTTGCTAAGGGAGATTTCAGGTCCTTTAAACACATACACACACACACACCAAAACTATGTGAAATAATGGCTATATTAATTTGTTTAACTATAGTAATCCTATATATAAACATTATAAATTATGATTACAACTATACTATAGTATAGTATAAAGTAATAGTAGTATAGTATAGATAAAGTAATAACTATAGAATGCTATACATTATAAGGTACAGCTCATTACATCTTACAGATAGTGAAATGATAGTATTTGTACCATTAAACATGGTATAAAACAATCATATATAGATCTCAAATATGAATACATTCTAAAAAGAAAATGAAGTGCTAGATAGGCAACAGCTGTTCACATAGGAGAACCCACAGATACGTTGCATAAGCTGGAAGCAAAGGGTGGAAACTAGGGACAGGTCCAAAAGCCCCACAGCCATCTGGGCTGAGGCCCAGAGGCCAAAAGAAATTGCAGTGCTCATGTGTCTTTTGTGCCAAGTCACTGACAGGCTAATAAGAGACCATAGGAGTGACGTGTTTCAGGGCTCCGTTGTCCTTGGACCTTCCTGATGCACCCTGAACTCCAGGTAACAAAATGAACCCAAAAGTTACGCAGCCCATCATGACCCAGGAGCAAGACTTAACCACACTTCCTCTCATCACCCTCCCTACTTGCTCTCAGGGATGGCAGCACCTACTGCTGGTTGAACGTAGGGGGAGGTTCAATTCCAGAGCTACCAACACCTCCACACCTGTGAGCCTCCAAGTGAGTCATTCACACTCTGGCCCAAGAACTAGACCTAGAGGAGGCACTACATCTGGGACTCTGCCCTGCTCCAGCAGTCTAGCTGGGGCATGCTAGACATGCTCAACAGCAACAGCTAGTGACCACTCTCAAAGACAGGTGCTTC